ACTACTCGCCATTTTTGGAGAAGTTTCTCTCTTAAGTACTTTCATCCTTAACTACTTTGCTACTTTAGTTTATACGTGTGCAAAATTTACGAGTACGTATATATATATATATATATATATATATATATATATATACATAGCGGTGTTCGTGAGCAGTCGTATTTTTACCCATTATGACCAATATGTAACAAGTCTCGATATTATTATATTATTATAAGTTTAATATCCAGTCTATGAGATGCAAAATTATAAAATTATAGCGGAATTTTTTTTTCGGAGTTATCCATTCAGTATTTTAGTAATAATTTAAGCACGACAATGCGAAAAATATAGTGGTACTGATATAAGAAAATTTGGCGAATATAATCCGTTATATTAAATTCTTACGAAGATGGGACGACATCGTTATACGTGTACTAAAGTAGTTTTAGAATCGCATTAACACTCATTGCTGCGGCAACGTAGGAGAATCTAAGGGACTATTGTGGTTGAAAGGATGCAGGAAGAAGACGAATATAACGGATTTCCGTTTTCAAAGGAAAATGAGCATTCTCAGTTACATATATATATGCATATACGCGCGTATGTACCGCATAAGGCGCATATAAACGCCTTCTGCTTTTATCTCTAGGAATGTTCACTACAAAGGACTGACTCGAGCGCTAAGTGAAGAACATTATCACTTTGAATACTGTAAGAGTTTGCAGTCGCGCATTATAATATCGTCAATGAAACTTACGTTATTTAATAAAAATTGAAATAAAATCTGGAAACTTTTATAGTACATTCGGAATGAATATATTTGTAATATTATTTTACAATTCATTTTCTGCATATAAATTAGTTAAAGATTTAAAAGAATAAGAATAAGATGATTGTTCTGAAATAGATATGCTTGTGAGAAGTAATGTGTACGTCTCTATAGTTCTGAAAATTTGTGTTAATTTTTATGTGATTCTTTTTCGTTTCATTATGCGATTCTTTTCGACCACATGATAACTGTGAATCATGCGGTTTCTACCAGCTGTTATACACCTTCAGAGGAACCGAAGGATGTTGGTGTCGGTACCCAACGAGCTCTTGGTAATGCAGAAAGCGTGTCACTGCAACAAATCCGTACTCCTGGCATTACGTGTCCCGAGTAAGTGTAGCGGAGTGGTGCTTTCAAAGTGCTCGGGACTCCTTTAAGTTACCTGAACGATAAAGTTCTTTGGAAGTCACCATTAGCGTCTTCGTCCTTGCGATCGTGTTGGAAAGTATTCCCGAATTTCGAAAATTCCAATATCAAAGAAGCTACGGATAGTCGAACGCCAACTTCACACTTCTATGTAATGTAGGATCACATTCGTACATGATCGGATATTTTTATATGTTTATGTAATATATGCGATTTATTATACGTTTATGTAGTATAAATATCATTTTTAAGTTGCAGTATATTAAGTTTGAGAAAATTTTAATTGAAAAAATACAAAATATCTCATCAAAATGAATGTTGTCGGTGAATATGTCCGGTGGCATTAAAGTTTTGTTACATTTTGTATATATCTTTTGTATGATTAGGAATTATTAATATTAATTTTTATAATATATAATAAAATATATACATAACTTTTGAATAACTGTATGATTGTGACATACTTTATCTCATATATTCTCCTGTTTGCTAATGCAACGTATCGTTGATTAGTAGTAGAGAAGATTTTCGCTTATTCATCGTTTGCACATATGTGTGTATTTAGATGGGATCGAACGTCATTTTGGTAGGATCAATCGTCATCCCAAAGGGATTAAGCGCTAACTCTGTAAGCCCACGCTTCTACGTTGGATTAAAATTTGCACGTTAGGCAAATATGAGACAATTAGTATGAAATAAAATATTATAATGAGAGAGAGAAATAAACATGCTTTGCATACACTTTTAATAAGTAAGCATTAGGCACAATTACATAAAACTTATATTTCATACATTTTAAATTGATAAATTTCCACTATTAGAGAATGAATAATTTTTGTCTTCCATCTATTATTGTATAGCTATTTTGTCCAAAGAATATAAAAAAAGAGAATATCGATTAACATTTAATATAAATTTTATACTTTTTCAGATTTGGAACTAGATTTCAGATTAAAGTTCTATCAAAGTTTGATTTTAAATATGCATATAATATTATTTTATTTTTCTAAAACTTAATCTATAAAAATATTTTCAATTTCACGTACTTACATTTAAATTGATAAATTTCCATTATTGTTCTTGTATTTTTTAAGAGAAATAAATTCAAGATATAAAAAGATTTAATGTGTTGCATTTTTCATGCTTATGCTGTCGTAAGCAAATATTTTTAACTGTTTTATTTCTCTTGAAAAAAGGAAATGAGTATAATTTTCGCAAAAAAATGATAGCGATATCGAACCGACTTTCAAAGTCTCCGAAATTGCGAGATTTTATCTTGACAAGAATGTATCTCGCGTCGGCAATAGAGAAACGGTTTAAGTCGCATCTCCGTTTTCTCTGCGAGGATCTTGAACGAAGAAGACACAAGAAGAAGAAGCCGGAGGATACTCTTAACGGAACAGTAAATTGCTTGGAAACTGCTGTACTATTTACGGACAGCGTTTCTTCCTGTGGACTACGTGGTCGATTTCGAAGCTTGGCGTTACGCGAGATCGAAATCGTAAATTCCAAGAAATTGAAAGACTTATACACCATGATCTTAGGACACGAAAAATATTTTCACTACGGCAGATAGTAGCTACATATATGTTGAGAGGCTTTTCTTTAAAAGTTTCTCGAACAACCAGATGTCCATTTGACTATACGAATCTGGATTTTCAATAAAATCAGAAAACTGTTTTGCCTTACATATCAACTCGGCTGAAACGTGATTCAATTAGCGACTTACATATTTGTTACGTAGCTTTGGAAACCGTAAAATCCAGATTTAAGGGATAATTAGACTTTCCGGATTTACACATAATGTAATGCCGAAAAATTAATTTTTTCTCTCTTCGTTAACGTAAAAGGATGTGAAACTTGTACAACAGCAAATTACACGGTTTATATTACGTAACGTAATAGTAACGTTAATAGTAGACATTTTTCTCATTAGCGATGCGACATTAATTAATTCTCTTGGTCTTTCATCCAATTTACAGTGATCAATGTCGCATAATATCGGACGCTGATATTATCCGCATATTGTTCGGTGAAAATTAATCAGTCCGTTCATGATACCCGATCTGGTTAATTCTTCCTCCCCTCCCTTTTATTATAACTTGAATATATATTGTGTATATTGTAATCATTTATAGTAAATTTAATATTGATGATATTTTCATGACTTTGATATTTTATACGTACTGTTGTCAAAATATAATTAATGCATCTCTCTCAACAAAAATAAATCAATTAAATAAATAAAAGGAATATTCATAATGATTATTTCTATAGAAATCCTTTTTAGCATTATTCTCTATTTTATCCAATTTGCCACAAGATAATTATAGACTCATTATATTTTGCCTTTTATATTTTGCTGGAATTTACTTCTTTACTATATAAAATTTATATTTTTAAAGAGAAGATTTGCACATCACTAGATAGTGTATTTTTCTAAATAGCGTATCATTTTTCCTTTTTCAATTTTGATGTGGTATCAGCGAGAACGTCTTCTTCCCAAAGATGTCGAACATGCTTGTGTCACGACGTTTATTTAGCGAAGTGCACCTTCTCTTTAGTGTTCACCTTTCCCTAGAGCCCTCTTTATCCTTGCTTGCCGATAGCACCATCGTATCTGATATAGTCGTATCCACTTTTACTTTGTAAAAGTATATACTGGTGGGTCGATATCGTCCGGCGATGGAACATCGTTGTCCTGCGATAGCCATTTCAGTTCCATCGGGATGTCCCGGAGCAACGACTCTGTCGTGTTTTGACTTTCGTCAGATAATACCACTCAAAAACGTTCGCGAAGATATACAGTACTTTGGAAAAAGAGAGCACAATGTGAAGGCTATGGTCAGCTTCATTGTAATCCCGCGTCAATATCATCATGCTGTACTAATTTACATAGCGCGTTTACACAGAAGCTAATTTTAAGTAGACTTTAATAGAATATTAAACTGAAGCTCTCATTTAAATACTTATTGGCACGTGAATGTATGAAAACGTTTTCACACACAGACGCATTATTTAATTAAATTACATATTTGAAAATAAACGCTTTAGAAGAATATATTGATATAAATGAGAAAAAAATAATGACACGTAAATTAACCTTCATCATAAAAGCATAATTCAGCATAAAAAGTTTTTATTGGTAATTTTAATTGATTTTATTATATTATTTTTAGTTTTTTTTTAATTAAGTTATATCGCATATAATTTGATTTATAATTCTTTATAAATAGTGTATGTTGTTCTTTTGTACTTAAAACGACTTCACTCTCTCCAGATTTTCTTTTATTAATATCTATTTTATTCGACTTCCTCAAGTGCTTTTGCTTAAATAACAGCTAATAATTCCGCACAAGTTTTCGCAAAGAGAATGTCCAATAGATGAAGAAAATAAAATTCTGTTTCTCTCACTTATAAGTCTTAATAGCTATTTTTTTTACAGGATGTATTTATGAACAGATTTATTCAAATGTAATATAAAATCTTTTTTTTTTTGCTGAAAATGCATTGAAATTTAACACATAATTATTATGGGAATTTATATTGAAATTTTTGTATTTACAAGTCTGCGAAATAAATGTCCCACGGGAAGTTACAAGTCAGTTAATTTACATCAAGAATTTATATTAAATAACGTTAAACCATTTTTGCTTGTGTTGAGAGTTTAATATCGCGATATTTTATAATTTAATTAACAACAAACTTTATTTTTCTGGGCAATTTCCGGTTTGCCCGGCTTGTGGAAACGCGATACTTCACAATCTAATTCTGACAAGCTTTATTTCCGTGAATAAGTTCCGGCATCTTGGAATGCTTGCAGGAAATGCGAGAGTAGTCAAGTTTTTGTCAAGGACCACCACACACACTGTATAGATACTTGCCGTCCTGTTACTATGTGCGGTGAAGTACGCGTCCCGGAGGACCATCTTGACGTAAGTAATTACCCGATAAGTTCTCTAAGCCGAGTTAAATCGTGCAATAAATATCGGAGCTAGTCAAAGGAGTAGATCGAGCATTGGCGTATTTTAGGCATTGGGAAATCACATGGAATCGACAATTTATTTATCAACAAAAATTTCATTTTTTAAATTAATTTTAAATAATTATTTATTTTGATATAGAGAAAATTTGAATTATATGAAAATTAATATTGAAAGTTAATTAATCGTGAAAACAAAACGTCATTTATTTAAATCTTTAAAAAGAAAAAATTGATTAAAACTTTTTTAATGTATCTACAATCAATTAGAAAGAGAGAGAAAATACATTTAGAATATTTCTTTTATGAATATTTCTTTTTAGAATACTTTTTTTTCTCTTTAATTTTGTATTTTATGCTCCCTATTTATATATGTACATGTATATAACTATCAAATTTAAAAAAAAATATCCTACTATCTTGAATAATTATATTTTGATTGTAAAAATTAATAATAATTTTATTGAAAAAAAATTTTGCTGTTTTCACGATAGATGAAATTATGATTGCGACAAATGACCAGATCTTTATATTTTCACGTAACACACGTATATTCGAAATAAGAGATATGATATTGACGCTTCATCTTGATCGATTACCGAGACTCGTTTTGAAAGGATGAACTGTAATGACAGCGTGGAAGCGAGAGGCGCTAATTGATGAGTGGCCCTGAGAGGCGAATTGGTGTCGGATAACTTATTAGAGCGAGGGCGTCATCACCCTTGTCGTTGACGGCGTAAAATTATTTACCTTCTCGCCAAAGGTGTTCTCGACGGTAATGCGATTCCGCTCCGGTTCGTCAGCGTTAATGTTTCCGGATACTTCGTCGTTTACAGGATGCAATCTTCTTTACACTATTTCGCGTGTGAACTCATCGCGTTTGACATTCATTATGATGAGCAGGATTGTCTGATTTTGTTTTATGTCGATGTGAGATTCTCAAATTCTTGATGTCATAAAAGGCGATAATTTTCTTTCCATTTTTAATTCATAATTTTGCCGAAATTGAGAAATTAAATTTATTATTATTATTATTATTAAATTTTTCTTTAAAATAAAAACAGTTTTTTCTCTAATTATCACATGTTTTTTATGCTTTATATGCTGATTTTTTTTTTTAAATGTGTATGTTTTTATATAGGTTTGTAGAACATGCAACGCGACAGGACACAATTGCGGAATAGCTGAAGGAAGTAGGGCTGGTCCAGGAATCGACGGTGCCGATTTCGTCTTTTACGTATCCGCCATGCAGACTGAGAGATGTCATAAGGGTTTAACGGTAGCTTATGCCGCTCATTGTCAACAAGAAGCAGCATTGGATCGGTAAATCCAACTTATTAATTTAATTAGTCGAAAGTAATACATAATAATAAAAGTAATACATAATAATAATATATATAAAACATATAATAGAATAAATGAATTTTATTATATATATTTTTTGATCCTATAATATTTTTAATAAAACATTCAGATTTTATAAAATTGTAAGTTTATATGGAGAATCTCATATTATTTTTTGTCATATAAATATTGTATAAATATTGGTTTCTATATAATATTCATATAAATTCATATAAATTAAAAAGTACATTTTTCATCATTATTTAATAATAACGTGAATGTAGAGTTTTCGCGATATTTTGATATTTGAGAACGTTATTAATAATGCATTAATACATTGAATAAGTGCGTGTCATGATTGAAACATTGTGCAATTTTAGCTATTTGTATGAACGAAGGCGTACAGACGAAGGCAAACATCTGGCATGAATATATTTCATGAGGACGTCGGATTAAATATTTGACAAGATTTATAAGAGAGATTGTTTGTACGAAACGAGCGATTTAACAATGGCGAATACTCATATTAATGATTTTAATTAAAACGATGTATTTTAGTTTGTTTACGCACTGAATGATTTCCAAAAATTTTCTTACTTATTTAAATTTACTTTGGTTTTAATGGTTTTAAATTGTTTTATTTTATCTCTAGATAAATTATTACGATTGTATCAATAATAATAATGCAAAGAATAGATAGTCCGTTAATTTACTGATAAATTAATTTTAATGATCTATTGTTTACCTGAAAAATATGGGGAAAAAATCGATTGCAATGGAGGAACTATTTTATAGGATCGAATTTATAATGGAAAATTGCAAAAGCAAAACTCGACGCTCTCTGATTTGACGTCTAACTTTATGACTTCGCCGAAACGTGAACGCATATTAAGTAGATTAAATTTGTCTGTCAGGTACATACGTCGCGCACGTCGTACCATAGTCGATGTAAATGGCGTTGCGCGAATTTTATTATTCGCACGACGTCTGATCGTGATAGATTGACGATATTCGTGCGCTGCGTTGCCGCTTGCTTATGGAAAAATCCTTGGAATTCGAGTGTGAAAAAAACATATTTTACATAACATACGATATTACATAGCTTTATCGATCGATATCGATCCACGTACCCTTCACGGAAATTACATGCTTTTATGTCTGCATGCAAATTTATTCTTCTGCTAATATCGTATACGTATCTTACAAGTATCTTAGAGAACGCTTGTCCAAGAAAATAGTAAGAGAAGACCTAAGATAATTTCGAGACGCTATAATTAAAATAAAAACGAAAGGTGATTTTGCGGCTGCTAAAGCGAACTAAATTGCTTCCAGGCCAATAGCTGGTCATGCCAACTTATGCCCGGGAAGCATCAGCACGAAACCACAGGAGTTGGAAACATTGCTCAGCACCGTTAAACACGAGATCCTGCATGCTTTAGGATTTTCTGTGAGCTTATACGCTTTCTACAGAGACGAGAATGGTGAGCCCAGAACGCCCAGAAGAAGCGATACCGGAAAACCACCTCTTAATGAAAAGTACGTTCTACCTTTTGTACGTCTTATATTAAGATTCTTTTATTATCGCATGAAAGACGCGCAAATTATATTAGTCCATTTCTTTGAACATGAAATTAAATTAGCCAGTACGATATGAATAGTTCCTCAAATGCGCATGAAATTGTACTTTACGTTTTGCAAATATGATTAACACAGCTAAAAAGGATATTCTTCTTGGAATACTAAATTCACACTATACACGATCGATTCCCTCTACATAAATTTTTACCAATAGAGAACATTTAAGCATTTAAATGAATATTTTTTCATGATTGATTTCTTTTTTCGTAGAAGAATGAATTTTGTCTCACTCAGTTTTGCTGAAATTGTTACGCTACTTTTGTGTTACGAGAGGGAAAGAGAGAAAATAAATACTTTGCTTTGTTCATCATTTCATCACTCAACTATGATGCGTTAGCTATTCCTCTCTCTCTCTCTCTCTCTCTCTCTCTCTCTCTCTCTCTCTCTCTCTCTCTCTCTCTCTCTCTCTCTCTCTCTCTCTCTCTCTCTCTCTCTCTCTCTCTCTCTCTCTCTCTCTCTCCTGCCTCAACCGATTGTCTGACGGTGTATCTGCCTTTAAAATTGGAAAATTCCTGGTATCCTATTCTATACGAGTCGACGGACCGTAACGAACTAGCTTCCGGCGTTGGCAGATGCGAGCTCTTCCCCATACGATCCTTCTTCACATACCCTTCTGTCTATTTTCCAGTTCTCCATCCGTTACTTTTCGCTACTTTCATAGTTACTTCTCTTATTCTCGCCGTTCGCTTTCCCAATTCGCTATCTCGCTCGAGTCCATCCGCCAAGTGGCGAAAATCGACGTCTTTCCACTTCGAATCGCGAAATTCCAGCAACAGATCCATGGCGTTCCAGACTATAATAGATTTTAGAAATGACTTTGGCGTTTCTCACAAGTCTCTTCTTAAAGCTCGCTCCGGCGTATAATTTTCCAGTATGTTCTCAGCGCATTTCTTCAAGTGTGTCTGGTTTCTTCAGCTGATCTCATGAATTATCGCGTTGATTTGCGTTTCGAATGTTGGCGAAGATAGAATTTCCTTTCTTTCTTACTCTCTCCCCCCCCCTTCTCTCTCTCTCTCCTCCTCTAATAAAACATCGCTCATCGCATTGCATAGCATTAGAGAATTATAAAGTCATTCGGTAATATATGCAGAACTTCTTAAACTCTCTAAAGAAACTTTCTGAGAGAGTTTTATGATTCTTTTTCAACGATGTCTCGATACTTAAATTGAGGAACAGAGATTTTTGTCGGAAATAGTTTCGTTCCCTTCTTCTCTTCATACAATCTTTTGTTTCTTTAATTTTGTAGCCCCTTTTTCTATCTTCCAGGTTTTTTTTATCCTCCGTCGTGTTCGCTACTTCTCATTTTAGTTCCAACCGTTCTTTTCGTCTGCTCCATGTCACAAGCTGTGCGTTCTCCGTTACAAATTCCACCGTTCTCTATATTTCCTGTTATCCATCTGCTCGTGATCTCGCGCATTCTCACCCTACCGCATCTGAATATCTCTACGAGGATCCTCTTACATTTAAGGTTTACGTTAATCTGCAGCAACGCACATAGAGAAGCAGAAGGAGAGAAAGACAGAGAGAGAGGAGAGAGGGAAGGAAGGATCTATGTAATCTTAGATTTCAATGGGATATAGATCTTAACACGACACGGCGATATTAGGTGTGATTGTTTGTGAAATGATAGAGCGTTTGTCTTTACCTGCAGAATAAATAATAATTTATCGCTTAACTTTGTAATTACTAATAATTATTCGCTTTACACATCAAATATTCCATTATTATTCTTGTCTACGATTTGTTTTTATTGATAGTGCCGATTAAACTTTTAGTGATAATTAGTACACATTTATTACGCTTTTTATACGTTTCTAATTAGCTATTTTATGTAAATGGAAATTATTTGCATTATTCAAATATATGATATTTAGATCTAAATGGTGAAATTACTATTTTGAATTACAGTAATAAATTGACATGTAATATGACAACGTACGAATAGCTGATATTTTTGCAGCTCGTGTGATTTGTCGAGAATTAATTTCGAAAAACTTTTCTACGAGATTTAAAAGCATTTTCACACGAGCAAGAAATCAAGACAACACGGGTTTAATCTCCTTTATTGTTTCATAACACGAGGTTGACGCTTTTTTTTCACGGTCGACATTACATTCAATTTCTCGCGTTTTATCACATTATATACGCTATTCCCATATGTCCCTAACAATTTATGCATATGAGATATTTTGACCAGTGATTTCACGCTCACGCTTAAACATAATAATATTTTTCATTTCATGCTCGTGTGTCCCCGGCAAAATGACCATTCGCAAATTCATCCGTCATATTGAAATCGAATAGAGGAGGGGTCGTTCGTTGTCGAAAACAGCGTTTCACCGATCGCATCAATCACTTTATACAGGAGATAGACGAAGAGAAAGAAAAAGAGAGATATTTCACTGTAATTATATTTATCTAACCCGCACTGCAAAGTCACGAAATATTCAACATTTAATACATAGGAAAGTACATTACGAACAATTTCTTTTGTTTTCTCAATATAAATCGAACACGTGAAAAAGTATATTAATCGTATAGAAAAAAAAAATGCTGTAAAAGAATGATCGAAGGAAATAATTGAATAAATAATTCTGGTTTTTGAAACTTTTATTTGAAGTTTATGGAGATTTTGAATTATTTTATAGCTTTTCCATTTCGTAGTGATTAAAATAAAATTTCAATAACGGAGAGTTTCTGCGATTTTTTTTTGTTATTTATCGTTTATTTTTTTCATGAACGATAGTTTATTCAACGCCTAATTTACTTGCGAATGAGATGCATTCGCGAATATGCAATCACATGATTTACAATGGCATAGCGGAGGAGATTATTATACCGGGCAACGGCAACAGCTTTCGACTACCAAATCAGCATATGCTAATAACGTTCGATACTCGTTTCGAGCAGGTTACAAACGCACCAGTGGAGCGAGAACACGATCAAAACCGTGGTCAGGCCTCGCTGGCAAGTGCATGGCGGTTACGTGGAGAGGACCATGCAAATGATAGTCACGCCTCGAGTCCGCGCCGAGGTTCAAGCGCACTTCAATTGCCCGGAACTCGAGGGTGCGGAATTGGAAGACCAGGGTGAGGATGGCACAGCCCTTACACATTGGGAGAAGCGCGTATTCGAGGTGCGTAACGCTTGCGTCTCCGATTTTATCATTCGCACATGTAATATGATAATACTCAATCGAGGATTTCGAACTGCCGTAGTATAAGAAATGAAGATAATCGATTTTTATATTTTAACTTTTATTTATAATGTTTTACGTTTAAATTCTGAAATATTGATATAAAATATCATATTATAATATTCTAATTCTAAAGTATGAGGTATGTTTATTATGCAGTGTTATACTATATTTTTACGCATTTAAATTTGCAATAGGAAATTTGAACAACATTTGCTATCATAGATTGATTTTTTTCGTTTATTCAGAACGAAGCCATGACAGGAACGCACACGCAAAATCCAGTTTACTCGAGGATAACGCTCGCTCTTATGGAAGATACTGGTTGGTATAGCGCCAACTATTCGATGGCGCAAGAGCTAGGATGGGGAAAAAATCTGGGATGCAATTTCGCTATGAAATCCTGCAAGGAATGGATATCCTCCAAATCATCTCCGTTGTCGTGAGTACATTGAGATATATATATATACATATAAAAAATAAAATATATATTGCAATGATTACGCGAAAATATTTAAATATTTCAGAGGAAAATCAATACATCCTTTTTGCAACAAAGTGAAACAAGATCCATTGCAGACCGAATGTACAGACGATCGGAGTTCAGTGGCCTTGTGTAATCTGGTGAAACATCCGCAACCGCTACCTAAGAAATATCAAGTAAGAAATATCTAGTGATCTAACGATTGAAATATTTCTAGTGATCTTGTGATTGAAATATTGAAATATTTAAAGCGGATACGCATACAAACAGAATATATATATATATATATATATATATATATATATATAGACGATCCTTGCGATGTTACATCGCAACATGAGAATATTCGCAGTATGTGAAGAACTCGGTTGACGATTTCTTCCATTGTAGAACTTTGATTCAATTCCCCACGTACCATCGGGAGAGGAACAATACTATGGCGGTTCGGTATCTCTGGCGGATTACTGTCCTTACATACAGGAATTCACGTGGAGAGCACGAAATATAGTAGTCAGGGGTTCTCATTGTCTTTATGAGGAGAATAATCCGCGTAAGTTACACGACACATATATATTGTGACAAAGCACAAAGAAATAATAGAATTTATTTGAAATATATTATTTGTTGTTTAGATCCAGATAAGAATTTCGCGTTAGAGAAATATGGTCCTCATTCAAGATGTTTTGATCATACCAATGATATGTGGGAAGAGAGAACTTGCAAACAAGCGCGTCAGTGGCAGCATTGGGGTTCCGGCTGTTACTTGTACAAATGCGAAGCTGGCAGATTACACATTATGGTGAGTTAGTACAACGTAATGTTATGAGTACTTATACGAATTTTCTTAATATCACCAGAAACAAATGAATTAAAAGAAATTATTTTTATTCTCAGGTTGGTAATTATACATACACTTGTTATCATGCTGGACAGGAACTTATTATAAGAATTATGCAGAATGGTTGGTTGCATAAAGGTGCTCTAATTTGTCCCCCCTGCCGAGATATTTGTCAGGTACAAGTATCATAGAGATATTATATCTTATTGTAATACGTGGACTGCAATATGTAATACGATTAAATATGGCTAAATGTAATTTAATTACTGACCTTATTTTATTTTTTAAGGCGGAATTTAAAGCACGGGACGAATGGTGTAAAGCAGGGGACGAACATCCACCTTCTACACATTATCACAAAGACTATCTTCGCTGCGCATCTGCAGATAGTTTTAGTCTAAGTATATCAACGCTTATTATTGCGATATTATCCTTTATCCTTAGATGATAAACTATTTGTTTTAGTTAATGTTTTAGTATTATCTTAACTTTAGATACATAAATATCATTTACTGATATATCATGTTTTGGAAATATTTTATTTTTTGCGATAATATCTATTCCAGTTTTCGTTATTGTAAGAATATGATGAATATTGGCCGAGGTGACAATCGTATTTAGGCTTGTTATTTATACAACAAAATATTGGCCAAATGATTTAAAAGAATAAAGAAATCATGGATTGACTTTAGATGAAATACATATACACTATTTGAATTTATCCGTGATAATAACACGACAAGATATTTTTAGGTGCCAATGTTATATTATATACGCTCTCTTGATCTAGGTTATGTATTTAATCAATTTATCATAAATATTATTAAATATTTGTCTTGTTACCATTAATTGATACACGATATATATTTGGTCATTATTTTGTGCACAAACGTTGTCTAAACAAAGATAAATAACTCGGTCATCGCTCAATTTAAGGCGGTGAATAAATGATTGTACCGTAATCGATAAATTGCTAAAGCTTATCTGACTGATGTGTGTACACACGGACTACAATCGCTGCCGATATAAAAATAACGTAAGATTTTATTAATGATATAAATTAATTGTAGAAATTAAGCCTAAAAAATGCTATAATTATCAATAAATTACAGTATAAACGCATTTTGCACAATGTGACAGTGCAAGTAATAAAATTATAGCAAGGTGTCTATTTTATAAATTGTAAGAAAACTTGTTGCGAACTCTCGAATTATTCAAGTACTTTTATTCAAAATTCCAAATAAAATTACAGAATTTTTAAATGCAATTTTGAAATAAATTTATTTTATCGTATGCATCTTTTTTAATCATGAAGAAAAACTATTAATATTTGGATATTATAATGTCTTGACTTAATCATTTTAAGGAGACATTCGATTTTTTTTGAAAATACATAACTTAAATGTAATATACAATGTACATGGATGTATCTTGATTGCTAATTTAAATGATTAGCGGATTAGTAATAGTAGTAATAGTTTGCGTTATAAAACCAAAGTTAACAAAAAATTTTTTGAGGAACATAATTTAAAGATAAAATTTTAAAAAACTTTAAATTGCAATAAAATTTCATAATATTCTCTGATTTTCAAGAATAAA